CAGAACATAAAATAACCCTCTGAATAGTTCAAAAGTAAATGGGCTATATGATTTTGAGAGTAACAATGCTTAAAATCATAAAAAAAAGAACAACCAAGATCTTGAAAATATAAGTGAAAATACTGAATATACAATTTTATAGAGAAGGTATAAAGAATTTATATTGAATGATAATAAAACAAAAGGGGAATCTCTAAAATCTTAGAAACCTAATGAAAAAATACTATTAAGTGAATTTACAAATTTGATAAACAAATAAGGAAAAAAAATTATAAATAATTAAATATAGACTTAGAGAGCAAAGTCTATAGATAGATAGACAAAAAAAATCTTTATTTATTCTTAATTAAGTTAATCTGTTACAAAAAGAGAAGATTATAAGGATTATTCATTAGCATTTCCAAAAATAGAATAAAAAAGTTCAAAAAAGCATACTTTAGATTCTAGACTATCAAATTACCAAAAATACTAAGTTTTTCCTGAAGATTAATATACAATGGCTAAAGATAATATAAAATTTTGATTCTTTCATACAAATATTTAATTCAATTTGAATTTTATTATAGATTATTCTCCATCCAATTTTAGTATTTTTTTTCGAAATCAGATTTTTCAAAATTATCTTATAATAATTAAAAGTATTCTTATGCTGAACTATTCTTTTCATATTAATCTTTGATAGAATTTATACAAAAAAGAATAATTTTTTTTTATGGTATTGTCTTTAAGGCATTATTTTTAATTTCTTTGTAATTTTAACAAATTTAATTTTATTATAATTCTTATGCATATTCCAAAAATTGTGTTGAATTCTTGAAACTCAAAATTGAAGTTCTTATTGAGATTAATAATTAGCAATTTATGGATGCTATAATAAAAATACCATTTTAAAAAATAATATCCCAAAAATGAAGACAAGCTTATTTTGGAATATTATACAAATATAAAGTAAAAATCCATTTACATAATAAATAAGAATCGTCAATATCTAATTTCATATAATGTTTGTACAATTATACATCTTATTATTTGAGAATTTCTTTAGTAACACTACAAATTAATCTCATTAAAGGAAATTCTGTCATATAAATTGCATAAAGCATCCATTTTGAACAATAAAACATCAGAAAAGAAGCAGACCATGTTTATTCTATATTTCCACCTGATTACATTAGCATAAATGCTAAGATGAAATTCATTCCTTAAGTATAGCCTATTCCCTTAAAAGTTGCCCCAACTAAATTTAATAGTTAACTTAATAATTGAGAACTTTAAGATTCTAATTAAAAAAAGGGATGACTAATCTTAAATTTTATTATACCTTGGAAATGTTCTTTTCACATCTCTTTCTACTATTGATAGTCTTTCAGTTTATCTAATTTTCATTGCTTGATGTTTATATTTAATGCAACTATATAACAAAGTTTTCCAAACAAACCATCTAATTTATCCACCTCCAGCTTATTCTAAAACTTCCGCAAAACGTTCTGGTTCATTTTTATGAATTGTATATAAAGCCTTTTATAAATCACCAGGTTCTCTTTAATGTTGGCGTTATGGATTCCCAACTAAACCTTCCCATAGTTAAATGCATATTTCTTAGTTTATAATTTCAGATTTATCAAAACAAACACCAATCTACAAACTATTATCTCTATCAATTTTATTTTAAATCTAATAATATTTTATGTAGAATACAATAGGTTTAATAGGGGCGTATGGTTAGTCTTCATTTTCTGAAAAGTAAGTATTTTTTAAGGAATTACTTAACTATTCGTCCCTTTATTCACTATTACAAATATTTCCCATATAAAAACAAAATAAAACAAATAAAACCAATTATCTATAATATTCTAAAAAAAAGTATAATAAAATTTAAATATTGTATATAGAATGATATAAACTATTAAATAGAGTTTGGTTTAATAAAAAAAGGTTAGAGAATAATAATTTAAATATTATATGTCACAAACATATATAAAAAATTATTATTTGAAATAATAATATTAGAATGTTTTGAGAATTAGTAATTCATATTAATTTCCTTTAAAATTAATCAATATTAGATACATGCTGATGGAATTTTTAATTAATGTTTGAGAGACCATATTATCAGAATTTATAGATTGCCTTTTCTTACTACAAAATTCAACATATATATATGATAAATCAATATTGATCTTTCAATAATATTAATTATTAAAATCATATGGGATGTGTTACTACTAAAAAATAGCCTATTGTTTAGATACCAAGGTCTGCTTTAGGCGAAAATTCAGAGTCAATAGATGATATCAATCAACGTAATTACAATAGTGCTCCTTAAAGTCCTGCTTTAAAAAAAATTGTGTAAATAGGTGCATTTACACCTGATGAAATTAAGGATTATGTCGTAGAAAGGAGAAAATAAACTAATAGTGCAAAAAGAATTGAAATTATGAAAAAAAATGGCAGATATACGCCTACAATCATCTATAAATATAGATATCCTTCACCATCCTAAAGAAGTTAGACAAAAGTTACTATTATGTCACCAATCTATCCTACCCAATAATGATAATATAATATTTATATTGTATAGTAGATATTGAATTATTTTTCCTAATTATTATTGGATTTAAAAGAAATATCTACATTTTAAAATATTTTACATATTATTAATTATGAGTCGGTTTAAAATTATATTGTCTTAATTAATTCAGTTATCTATTTTTAATAAGAATATTTTTAAAATAATAATCGCTGTTTTATAAACTACATCTGATTCTTATGAGTTCATTGAATCATTTATAATTTAGGTTTTTAATAATAAATTGTAATGTTAATAAAAAGTAAATAAATAAGATTTATAATAATTATAATAAAGAGAAAGTTGGAATTTTGGACTTTGATTCAGATAATTTTAATCAAAATATATTATTTATATAATTAATTTTCTAAGTAAATCATCATTAAATTTATTTAAAATATATATATTTTTGTATTATTAATAATGATGGAAATATTTCATTAATAGATTATAATATTTTCATTGTTATTGATTTTAATTGTTAAACAATATAAATTTTATATTTCAATTATTTTAAGATAGAATATTATTTAATTTAAAATTTCTTTATTTAAAATATTATTTATCAAAGGATTATCATCATTACAATTTATCAAGTTAAAATTAAATACAGTTTTTAATCTTTTACTTGTTCTAATATATTTTTTTCATCTGAATTACACTTTGTTCCAAAATTACTAGGTTTGAAGTTAAAAAACTATAAGTCTATCAAATTTCTATTTAAGATTTTTTAAAAGAAATAGGTAATATAATTATGAATTAAAGTTTTTCCTTATTTTTTGAAAGAATTTATACATAACCATAACGGAGAAAACAACAATTTGTTCTAAGTCTTATTTTTAGACTTAAACTAAATAATTTTATGAATAATAAAAAGCAATTCAAGAATGAAAATATTTGGTGATAAAGGTAAAACAAAAATTATTAAAAAATCTTCATTTTTATCATTTTAAATAAGTGGCTATTTTAAATAGTTTTAATATAAATAAAACGAACAACAAAATATTATTATAAGTTAAGACTTACTTTTAGATTTTAATTCACAAAGATTTTATGTTATTTTAATATTTTTTATAATGTATTTAGGTCTCAATGTATAATTCATAATTTTCAATATTTTTAAATAGAAGAGTAATGATATTTTCATTATAAATTATATTTTAAATTTTCGTGTTTAATTGAACATTTTTTTTAATTAATTTATAATAATATATATAATCTGGTTAGCAAATCACTATTTATGATGAGGAAACATATAAAAATAGAAACCATCAATAAAAGTAGGCCATGCTCCATTTTTATAATCATATTTAGATAAATCTTCACCAATTTAGACACAAAATTCCCAAACCATATAATAGGTATCTCTGGAGATAGGTTTTTAATCCTTTTCTTGAATTTACTAAATTTATAATTATCATTACACTAACATATTTTAAGAATTATTTCATGATTGGAAATGTATTTGTTAAAAGTGTTTCCCATAATCCTTGAGCAAATGGGAGGTCGATATCTTTTCTATTTTTTTATTTAGTAAAATCAAAACAATATTTATAGACTGATTTTAAAATTTCCTTATTATTATTAAGATCATCTTTTAAACGTTTTAATACTTTTTTCAATTCAGATGTAGACTAGACTTTCAATATTGTAAATCCATAGAGAAAGTCAAATTTTGTATAAATACCCTTAAATATTAAATAAATATACCATTGTCTCACTTTTAAAGATATATGATATATATAAGATAACAGGGTCCATTAAATCAATTTCTAATTCTTTACAAAATTATGAAATTCCATTTTCATCTATTACTAATGATTGTTTTGTTGCATATTTATTAAATTGCTCTTCAATTTTTGTTCCTGATTTTTGAATGTCTAATATATAATTAGTAGCTTTTTATAAATTCCATTAGGTTTGATTGAGAATTTCTCTTGCCTGTAAGTCATTTAATTAGATAACCCTCTAAAGATCCTTTATCATTATATCCTCTTAAGCTTAATTAGGTTTTGATCTCATAAATAAAAAAATAGAAATAATCAATATTTATATTAAACTGTTTTGGAATGAATACGAGGTTCAATTGTAGTATAAGCACTATCATCTCTAGATCTAAAAACATCAAGAGTAAGTTTTCTCTTTACTAATTCTAAATTGAAAACAGGTTATTAATTTTTAACTTTTCTTTTTTTAAGTATAAAATCATTTAATTATTTGCATTGATTTTATTATTCATATTGCTTATTATTAAGAAATATATACTTTTATTTTATGAAATTAATCAGCTATAAGCTATTATTATTCATTTAATTAATCTTCAAGTTATTAAATTAATGCTTGTTATTTTTAAGCATCTAAATTTGATGTTACATTGAATCTTTTGAGACATCTTTTTAAATTCTAATTTTCTTTTTTTAATTCAACATTCTCAACCTAAATCTCTTGAATTTTAATATCCCTATTATTAAATGTCATTATACTTGCTATTCTAATTTTTATTTTAAGATTCTTTCAGATTCTTATAAACTAGAAATCAAACTAGAATGATCTGGAATTTTTGGCATTACAAGTAAATTATAATCATAATCATCTTATTAAATTTTTAAACCTTATTCTGCATTATATAATCTTAGACAAACAAAGTAACTGCATAATCGATTAGCTTTTTATCGAAGTTTATTTGATAATGTTTTAAGTAATAACAATTCTTACTCAAGCTCGACTACTAAATCTTAATCTACATTATTTTGTTTTTGAGGTAACTATTCTTTTTCTAATTCTTATATTTTTAGTAATAACTAAGATATGATAGTTTCTTGTTCAAGTATAAGATCATTTTTAGAATCAGCTTATTTCTAAAGAGCTATTGTTTTAGCTTTTTGATTTATAACTTCCTATTTATCTTTAAGTATAGATTCCTATAGTTCCTCTTAAACTTATGAAATCATGATTTATATGGATTCTAATAGCTAACCTTTTTTTTATGTAAATTTGTTTTCCAATTGAACTTTATTAGAAGTTTTGATTCTATATGCTTCCTGCATTTTTTTTAATCAATTTAATTCATGAGTAAAAAAGCAGAAAAAAAGAAATAGGAAAAAATAATAGAGGATAGAACATTTGGACTAAAAAATAAAAATAAAAGCAAACAAGTTTAAAAGTATTTGAGATATAAAATATTTTTTAGTTTTTGTAAAGGAGTTGCTTAATAAGTTAAACATAATGGTGTTTCAATGTCAAAATTATAGGCAGAAGAATATGAGAAAAAGAAATTAGAAAAATAATTGGAGGAAGATGAAAAATTGATACAATCTTTATATAAAACAGTTGAATAAGCAAGAGATGAAGAATCTGAAGAAGAAGTTGATCCAAAATCAATATTATGTGAATATTACAAATAAGGTAAAAGATAAGTAAATAGATAGGTCTTTGTTAAAAGGGTAAGAAATGTATTTATTCTCATGATATGAGTCTCGAATAAAAGACAGCAATACTTGATTTATATACAGATTAAAGATAATAATTGACAGATGAATGGGATACTTGTTAAACTTGGGATGAAAAGACTTTAAAAGATGTAATTGAAGCCAATGAGAAAACATATAAAAGGTATCTAGATGTAATTAAATAAAATAGTTAAATTCCATCAGCTAAAGTTTGTGATTTTTTTTTGGATGCTTTAGAAAAAGGTAAGTATGGATGGAGATGGGTATGTCCTAATGGTATGACTTGTCATTATAAGCATTGTTTGCCATAAGGATATGTTTTTAGAAGGAAGGAGGAAATTAAATAATAATTTGATGGTGATATTGAAGAAGAAATAGATGAGGAAATTTAAAAGTTATAAAAAGGAGGAACAAAAATTACTAAAGAAGTATTTGAAAAATGGAAGATTGAAAGAGCTGAAAAAAAAAAGTAAGAAGCTGAAAAATAAAAATAAGAAGAATAAAAGAAGAAAGGTTTAAATTATTTATTTAAACATAGGTGCTAAATAAACAGGAGGAAACAATTAAATGACTGGAAGAGCTCTTTTTGTTTATGATCCTAGTTTATTTGTAGATGATGAAGAAGCTGAAAATTAATATGAAAGAGAAGAGTAAATAGAAGAGAATGAAGAAGAAGATGAAGAGAAAGACAATGAAAATAAATAAAAATTATATGAAGGGGATGATAATCAATAATAAGATTAAAGTGAAGATGAAGATTAATAATTTAAGTAACAATAATCATGATATATGTTATTGTAATATATTATTTCTAATTAATGATCTTCAATCACTTATATTATTATCATTTCCTTTTATTAATATAATAATAATTTTGCTCACTTATATAATAAAAAATAAATTCATATAATAAATAAAGCAATATCAAAAATGAATGATGCATCATCGTTCATCACAAATACTATCTTCTTTCACATTTAATCCATTACATTGTTATTATTAAAAAGGTTAAGAATTATTTAAAATAATATCACTATCCATGAGTTCATCATGTGTATCGAATGATTCTTCAATCTCAAAATACTCAAATTATTATTATTTTGTTTAATTTAATGTCAGAGTAACATTTTCAGGATGTTTATAACTTGACTTTTAATTCTACTTCTTTTTCTTAGTACATTAAATTAACACTCTTCCTGTTTAGAATAAGACATTAGGTTGAGTTCCTTCTTCAGATATTTTAAGTAAATCTTAATCTTAGGCTAGAACAAGAGTTCCAAATTTACTTTTATTATCTTAAATTCTAATAATGTAATTTGGAGTTTCAGGGGTATGATTGTTAGTTGGAATTAATTTAAGAATAGCATGTGCTCTAGATACAGATATATCTCTTAATTTAATATCACAATCTGGAATTCTACCCTATTAAATTATTATATATATAATTATACAATTTTTAATTCAGTTTTTTCACCAATTTCTACTAAATATATCATAGCCTCTTTAGTTTCATCATCATTTGTAATCTTAAAAGTTATATATGATGACTTTGGTTTTGGCAATTTAAGAACTGAATATGTTTTATCTTAAAATTTATAAGTGTTCCTAAATGTGGTTTTGCATATTTCACAATCTAATCTTTTCCAAAGATACTAAATAGAATGTTCTCCTTATTTAATTTTTAATTGTATTCCAACCCATCTTTAAAGACATTCCAAATGTATATATTTAACTGAACCTCCACATTTACATGGTCTTATCAAAGGATTTGTTTCTGTGGCTCTACTTGAAAAGCAAATCCTACAATTAAACACATCATTAATAGTTTAAACTTCATCTTCTTATTCATCTTAATATTATGTTGCCTCATCACATGGTGCCATAAATGCATATTCCAATAATTACATTTTCACTCTTCCTAATTTTATAACATCTCCAATTTTTAAATCTCTATGCTAATTATATAATTTAATTTATACATCTATAGATGAAAATTGATTGCTTTCTAATTTCAATACTGCCCATAATTTATGATCTTGTAATCGAGATATACAGTTAATATAAGCATCCTATTCATTTAAAGTAATATTCACTAATTCAGTTGAATTTATAGCTTATTCTGTTTAAGTTAATGCCACTAGTTCTTTGTCTACTGTTGCTATTTAAGCTAAAAGTGTAAATCTTATTATAATACATGAAAAGTCAACTTCGATTTCTTTTACAAAATATGAATTGGAATCAAAGTCAAATAAATTATGTTAATTCTTTGGCCAAATTACTGCCACAATATGAACTCTAAATTATTAATATTATTTCTACTTGTATGGCATTAAAGTTCTATTAATCTCATACCTTTTTTCTTTAGTTGATGTGCAAGCTCCCATCGAATAATTTATTTTTAATTAATTAAATATTATTCTTATTCAAAAATGAATTCCTTTAATAAACACTGTCATTTTTTAACTAATTTCCTTAAATTATTCTCCAATTCTATATCAATCTCTAATAAACATTTTCTGAGGAATAAATCGTTTTATAAATAGATTCATAAATTAGCTACCCACTAAAGATATAAGGTTCTATAACTTAATATATCTCTATAGTATATTTCTAATTAGAATAAATTATATAACCTATTTAGCTTAATTTTTTATCATAAAAATTTCTCTGTAGATGTATATATATCAATTTGTTTTCATCTAATTAGTTTATGAAATAGTAGTGACTCATTAAGGTTATTAATTCCATTTATAATAGGTAATTATAGTAGTTATGATAATTTAAAGATTCAGTAAAATTAAATTCTTCTATCTAATATCATACAACTCTCAGTTTTATTTCGATTGATTAATTCAAAATTAATATGAATTTAACCCCTCTTAAACAAACCTAATTAATTTAATGATTTATTTATACACTTTAAAAAAATGGCAAAATATTTATTCCATTAAGGAATACTAGAATTGTATTTATTACTTAAACATATTAATAATTATTATTTATCAAGTAAAAATATCATTAATTATATATTAAAACATTAAGAATATAGTTTATTTATTAATAAAAGCAACTTCAATATAGTAGTATTCATAAAAAAATTTTGTTGAATTTACTATTTTAAGATATTTGTTTCTTTTTATAAATTTATTATATTCCCTAAGGAAACTTTAGAGAATTACTGATCTTTTGTGGAATAATAAATTTAAGTATAAATTTTTATATTTTTACTTATAATTTAAGAAATCAATAATTTAATTTAAAATGTCTTTAGATCGAATGAGAAAGAGTTTCCAAATCATTTTTGGAATTGATAATTGTAAAGCAACAAGAGAACCAATAATTCAAGAGAGAATTAAACAAGAATTTGTTTTTGATTCTAAATTGAATGAATAATAACATCAAAACAAATTTTCAATGATGAATCAATAAAGAAAGAGATCTAATTAATATTATTATGTTTTAGATAGATTAAGGTCATTTTAACAAAATAAAACTTAATCTAATGAATATGAAAAAATTCCTGTCATAACTTATCTCAAAGATAATATAGAAGTAATTGGATTATTTCAAGTAATAGAAAAAAGTAAATTTGAATATCAATCATGCTAGATGGAATTATTAAGATCGTTTCCCTGAAAATGACAGTTCCAATATTAGTTCATCATTTGGTGAAAAATTAGTTCAAAAAAGTTCTAATATAATTGCTAGTGTTAGTAAATAAGACTTTAGACCTTATTATGCTTAAGAACATATATAAGATAATATGTATATCTAATCTTAATCATAATAATACAATCAAGATAAAATATTGTAATCAAAAAAGCTATAAACCATTTTTGGAGGAAATAGATCTAAAGTTAATTTTCTTAGGGAAGATAAAGAATAAAGATCAAAAAGTCATAAATCAGATTCTAATTTTAAAAAATTAGGTGGAATATTAGAGGATGATTTTATAATACCTTCTTTTTTAAAAGATGAATCTATTCATGATAAAATAGTTCAAGATAATATTCATGATAAAAATATTAGAGGAAAAGAGGTTCAAATTAATAATAATAAATTTTTAGAAATATAATCATATAATTTTTCAACCTTTAATAAAGAAAATAATCCCAAAGATTTCTAATTGGAATTAAATGGATCATTCTAATAGATTGGTTTCAATAAAATCAATTCTTAAATCAATACTGATGATTTGATAGAAAAAGATTAACCAAGTTAAAAGCCAATAACACATAAAAAATTGAATTAAATTAAGTACTGTTATGAAAAAAATCCATTTCTTATTTCAAATGATGATAATTCTTAATTTGAATGCAGATTTAAATCTCCTTAACAAAACTCAAATCTTATAAAAGATATTTATAATGAATATGAATCTAATGAAATATTTGGAAATTTATAATTTGATAATAATAGTAAATAATTAGATAATCAAAAAAAAAAATCATCTGATTCTATTGAATAATAAGGAAATATTTCTTTTGGTAACTATGATATGAATCCATCTGATGATCAATAATTAAATAAAATTGAAAAAGATTAATATATTGAAGGTTAAAATCTTAAAAATTCATTTATTTTTGACAATTTTGTAAATCCAAAGTTTGATTTTGAAAATCATACTCCTTTATCAAAAGATTAATCTATAAATAAATAAAAATAATTAGATTTTTCAGAACAAACTCCTGTATTTAAATAACAAGAGGAAAGCAATTAAACTTTTTATTAAAATAAAATTAATAAAATTTAAGGAGAATCAAAAATAAATCCTATATCAAAAAATAAAATAAGTGTTAAAGAATAAATTTAAAAAAACCTTGCATCTGAATTTGATGCTCAAGAAAATTAATCTTCTAATAGATCTAAATATAATTAATTATAAGTAATTCAATGATCATGTGTTTTGAATGTAAATAGTAAATTTGTATTATTACTATCAGTATGATGTGATCTTTTCTTTTATTACCATTATTCTAATTCTTAAATTTTTTAATCTTTTCTTGATATTTATTTCTCAAATAATCTTTTTAATCTTTTTTCTTATTCTTCCAATTCAAATTCTAAAAATAATGAATTATAATTATACACATTTATTATTTTTAATCATTTAACTACTTTTAAAGGATATCTTAAAATAATTTTTATTATTCTTTTAAATCACTTTCTAATCTTTACACTTATAACTCTAATGATTATAAATAGACTTTATCATTTTAAGAGGTTCTGAATTTATTTGAAGATATACTTTCTTAATTGAGTGTTTTCTTCTTCCAATATTTTAATTTTATTTCCATAATGCTATTCAATAGTTTTTAATCTTTCTACAATATTGATTGATGTATTTGCTTAATTTGGTGAAGACATTCCTGAATTTATTGGACTATTAACAACTATTGATTATTGTTATGGTTAAAATTTTTCAAATGTTTATGTTTTTATTTATTGTCTACTTCTACAAATTCTATAAGAATTAGCATTTTCTATAAAATCAGACTTTTTTAATTAAGAATTTTCTAAATTTGAAACAGGTGTATATTGATAATTATTTATAATCTCATCCTACTATTTTGTAGGTTCATCTGAATTTATAATAGATTTTGGTTATGTTCTTTTAATAGTGTTTATGTTAGACTCTTTAAGTAATTTTAGAATAGTTTCATCAAATTTGTTTAGATATGTATTCACCTATTCTAACTTCTTCATTTTAATTATTAATATTTATTTAATTGATATCATTTTTCATTATTTGCTTCTTGAGTAGGCTTTTCATTCTTTGTTTAATCACCTTTCTTCCAATAATTATCTAATGCCTATTCCATTTTAGATTTTCCTATATAATATAATATATAATATACTTTATAGATCCTTGGCTATTTTATAAACATCTGAATTAATTCTATTCTTTCTTCCAGTTTTGATGAACCTTTATTTCTTTTCACCCTATTCAATTAAAATATTATTTACATTCTAATTATTTTATTTGAACCCAAATCTTCTTCTTCGCTATGTATTTTGTTATTAAAATCCTTATTAATTTCCTCTTCCTCTATTTGATCTTCCTCCTCTGTTTTAATTTTAGTTTCTTGATCTATTATAACCTGAATTTTAATTTTAATTTGATGATCTTCTAAACTAATTATTTTTATAATTTCCTTGTTGATTATTAGACCTGTTATTATTATTTCTATTGTCTCTAAAATTTTAATTCCCTCCTCTAAATGGTCTTTTATTAACATTTCCACCTCTCCTTTTCCAAGTCCCGCTAAATTATCTCATAAATAAATTATACAAATTAAATATTCGATTTTTCAAAACTTTATATACATCAGTAATAAGAAATTTGTTTTAAAGAACATATATAAATAATAGATATAAATTAAAAATCATAATTTAAATTATTCTAATTATTCTACCATCTATTATGTATCAATAACTGAAGATTTAAGTTTCATGATCCAATAAGTTAAAAAGCTTTGTAATTCACATTTCATTTAACAAAATCTTTACTCATAATTTTCATCTGGTTTCAATTTCTTCTTTTATGTTTCATTAATCAACTCTTATGGTTAAGCTTTTTTTATTATCTTAATTTCTAATGTTTATTTAGGTGTTTATTCTGTACTTGGCTAAATTAAAGTTGTATTTTAAGTATTTTTATCACTTGATTATGTTTAAGAACTCTATTGTTATTCTTATATATTCTTTAATTATGAATTAGAAGAGGCTAAAGCTACTTATTTATCTAGGTTTGCTAAACTATTATTATCATCTATAATTTATAGTAGTTATCTCATTTTTTCACTTTCAGATCTAAAAACCATTTGAGGCTTCACTTTTTTACAATAAGCTCTTTTTATAGCTTTTTTTGGTTGATTCTAATCCATCTTTCAATTAAGATTTGATTAAGCTACTTAAATAATATTTCATAAAATCCAAAATACTTAAAATGAAAAGGTAAAATAAAACAATGCTTTGTAAATAGCCTTTATTTAATATTCAAAAAATATACATATAATTTCTGATATTTATAAAATAAAAATATATTAGACATAATTATAACTTCTTAAATCTCTAATAATAAATAACAATTACTAATTTTATTAAATAAATATATTTCAATTTAAATTCTATCTAGGTGTGTTTAAGGTATTCAATTTAGCCAAAAGGAGATTTTTTTAATTTGCATCAACATGTACAGTTGTATTTTTATTTACCAATAAACTTAAAATCAAGTTTCTAATTTATTATGAGATAATGTACTTGTTAGATTGATTTACATGAAAAGTATTTGCTTTAAATTCCTTCTTTTAATTAAATCTTTATTTTTATTATTAAATATTTCTTGTTGTTTTTGGTGAATCAATATTTTTTTAGAGACTCCTTAAAGATGTATTACCAGTAATTGCCTTTGTTTTTATTTAATTTCTTAATTCTAGTTTTACTTTAACTCTTTATCGTACTGTAATAATAATTAATTTTACATAAGATTAATATCTGAGTATGATTAATTTTAGGTGAATTACCCCTATTTCTAGAAGTCTAACAATTTTATTTAAAATCAACTTTTTTTTATTATAATTATTAAAATTTGGATTATCTTGATGTTTAACTGGTGGCTTTTTATTAATTTATAAGTAGATTAATATTTTTTAGTTTGTCTTAAGTTATGAATTATTATAATCTTTATTCATTAAGAATGCATTGTTAATTATTTATTAATTATTGTAAATTTGGTTGTTTTTTTATTGGATTAGCATTTAAAGCTTAAATAATTTCATTTATTTCACTTTATTAAGTTTGTGTCCTTTATTTTAATTCAGTATTTAATTCATCCAAAACATTACCAACAACTAATCCTGATTCTTAAGATGATTTTGGAGTACTTTAGGATTCTTAAGGTTACTCTCCTACAATACCTTTTGGAGTTCTATTAGGATTTTATTGGTTTTCTTATTCAATTATATGTTGTATTTTATAATAATCTAATTTTCTTCTTTGATTGTAAAATTCATTTAAAATGCTAACAATTTATTCATTAACGGCCCACCTTGGAATATCCTTATGGAACTGCAAATGTAATGAATTATGAATACTCTATAGAATTCAACTAAAATCTTAATTTTTTTTGGATATGATGATACCGTGTAGAGTTTCTTACAATGTTCAACTTCTTCATCATATTATTACAAATCCTTATAAAAATAGGAAATATTATAATACTTTAAACTAAATTGTAGCCTTAGTTGGTTAATTGAGTATCAAATCATTAACTACTTTAGTGTAATAATAATTTTGAGATTCAGCATATTTATTATAAAGGGAAGAAGTGATCCTTTATGATAGAGAGACTTTCTTAAATAATAATCTAACAATACTTTACCTTTCATTCTAATTTAATCTTGATTAGATCCATACAGAACCTTTCTGCTTGGAATACAAATAAGACATTCCATTTTGAAATAAAATAAATTTAAATTAAATCAAATAACTTGCATAAAACAATAATAGTAAATGAGTTACCAAATAAAATTAATTTGAAATAAAATAATTAAATAAAAAAAAAACTAATTATAAGTTAAATGTAGTATAGAAGCTTGAATAAATATAAAAATAATTTGATTAGATGATTGTATTTTATAATTTTTATTTTAGATTTGGAATTGATATTTTTATACTTATCTAATTTAAAATAATAAATAGATTTCCCAATTTATTAATTTATGAAATAATCTCATCAGAATAGAATGCTCTATAAATTACTTTAATCAAAGTCATTACGTAGTATGTTTTCTCCTGGAAAGGCATCAATTATAACAGATCCAAATAGAGTTAAAGAGAAATGTTTAAAACACAACTTAAAAGTATTGATACTAATAGAATAGGCTAGATTTAGTTACAATACATAATAATTATGTGAAATATGTGCTATAGAATGTGCATATGATCATTAATAATTATAGCATATTAAAAGTGGAATGATTTTATAACCATTTTAAGAATTAAAGAGTGGAGTGACTAAAAATGAATTTGTATAATTAAATGAAAAAGTAAAGGAATTAAAAAATTGTAAATAAAAGTAAAGCATTTTAATGCAATTTACAAATTAATTGGAATCAGTTTAAATTAAAGTTCAATCATTATTTGAATAGGTTAATGTAATTAATACATATGGAATTGCAATATTTTAGGAATAATAAATTAAATAAATTTGCAAAAAACTAGAATATAGATTATTAGAATTAACACGTAATAGACAATCAGTTTCAACTTACAATTATCAATAACTTTAAATAAAATTAAATAATTATTAAGATGATATATAATTAATGAAAAATGATATTGAAGATAATTTAGATAGTATTATTAATAGAATGGATATTAATCCATTAAATGAAATAATTCAAAAATATCAAATGAAATTAGATTTTTACTTAAGTGAATGCAATTAGAAAAAATAATTATAATAATAAATATTGAATATGTTTTATATAGAATTATAGAGATTGAGTAAATAATGAATATAAATATTATTATATGAATCATCAGAGATAATTTTAAAGTTTGAGAAGTGTCCCAGATGTCTAAGAAACTGATGAAGTGGAAGATAGAATATTTTATTAGATGGTAGGAACAACATAATAAGAATCTCATATTCTTATAAATAGTGATCGTACATCTATTGAGGAATGGATGAAATTACAATAAAGTTTAAAAGAAGAATAATACAAAATGAGATAAGAAGATGAACTTAAAAATAAATTATTAGATGAATTAAAACATGAAAGCAGGAATTATTACTAAACTTATATTAATGTATTAGTTGAGAGTAATATGAATTAAGAATAAAAGACATTGGAAGAATCCACATCTAGATTATTTAGAAATGCAGAAACTAATGTAAAATTGATATTTGAAAAACTATCAAATACAAAAGTATGTTCTGCAATATTCCAACATCATAATAATACAAATAGAACTCCAGAAATTGAAACTCTTATACGTACATTCATAAATAGTATTTATGATAATATTGCATGTGGATCAATGTGGAAATAGCCAATTTTGAAATTAATGAGTGAAATAATAACTACAGAAGTCAATAGATAAGAAATTCCTGAATTTTTATGGGATAGAGAAGAAACTTTAACATAATTTATTATGAAGGAATTTGCAAAACGACCTGAAAATGTCAAATATACTAAAGTTATATTCAAAAATTCATTAATACAAATTACTAAAGTTGATAAGTTTCTTGATTTAGACAAAAGAAAAATAGCAGACAAATTGCGTGAAATAAAGAAAGAATAAGAAAAAAAATAGAAAGATGATAAATAAGTTTTGACTTCATCTGCTTTTACTGTTAAATAAGTTCCTTTAATGTAAAGTTCATCACATAAATTACCTTAAAGATAAATACCTATTATAACTCCAATTAGAAATATTGAAATACCTTAATAAAATATGACACTTTATTATGCTAATTTAATTAAATAATATGATCAATCTAAGAAATAAAATATAAAACATTCAAGAAGAAATTAAAATTAATTAGCTGAATTTTCATTAAAGGTTCTTCAATTTGGAGAAGAATAAAGATAAGCCAAATTCTTAACCATGGAAAGGAGAAGTGTTGTACCTACAGAATCTCAGTCTGAATCACCTGTTCGCAATTTATCTGATGTTTATAGTCATAGTAGTAGATCTGATCAACATTTAAATAATGAAATTAATAGTGTCTTGATTGCTTGTATAGATAAATTTAAACAGCTTGTAAATAATATCATGGAAAACATATTTAAGAATATTTACTTAATACCTCAAGGTATTCGTATCATTTGTAAAATGATTTAAATTACAATCTTAAAAAAATTTCCAGAAGCCACTGAATAATAAATTTAAGATAATATCTTTAGTTTTTTATTTAATGTTTGGTTAATACCTTAATTAGTATTTCCAAAATAATATTCATCTTTTAAATATATTAGAGAAGATCATGAAAACACAGTTTAATAAATTCATATTATTATTAAAAAAATGATAAGGAATTAAAAATATAATGAAGATCCTTAATATAATAGATTAAATTAGTATATGTAAGATTTGTAACCTTCTCTTAAAGAATATCTTCAAGAGATTTTAAATTTATGTCCTGATTCTGTTAATGCCATAATTAATGATACTAATAAAATTGATGGAATACAATCAAATTGTGTTTGCATAGCTTTAGATGAAATTAAAATTCTCTGTTAATTATTATAGGATATGAAAACATTCAAAACTGAGTCTGCAGATCTTTAAAAAGTCATTAATTAACTTGTCACTTTAGCTACAAGAACTTTAGAAATAGATAAATATGAAAACATATTTAGATAATAAAATAATTAATTAGCTTAATAATAAATTTATGCACTAATCTTAAATTTCTCTATTCCTAATAATATTGTATATTAAGAATAGGTCTAACCTTTAAAGAAGATTAAAGATGAAAAATTGAGAAATGCTAGAAAACTTGTTAATGCATTAATGAAATGTTTGATAGAAATTTAAGATTTAGCTACTTCTACATCAGGAAGTTAAGAAGAAACTAGTCTCAAAAGAGTACTTACTAATTTTATTGATGTAAATAATTATATTATACTTTAAGAAATACACATATTTGGATGATAAAAAAACTGTATTTTAAATTAAATATGTTTTGGAATAACTAAAATTATTAAATAAAGAAGATTTGTAAAGTAATTTAAGAAATATTTATTAAATTTTGAATTAAGAATTTTAAGAACGTTCATTGAATTTGACTGAACATATTTAATAAACAAAATATCAATTATTAAGTGCAAAGTATAATATTAAGAAAAATTATGAAGTGATGAGAGAGTCCTTTGAATAATTAAGCCAAGAAAAACGATAAAAATAATTATATGAATTTATTGAAAAGACTCCTCTGACATTATGTGTCACATCTCCAAAAACAAGAGAAGGCTTATTTTCAATCAAAGCTATGAAACTCAGAAATAATAATAATAATGAAGCCTTAGATGAAAATTAAATTTGGGTTGAACAATAAAGTGAATGTATTCATAATGCTATTAATCTGGAATTTATTAAATAAATTGTTGGAGGAGCTAGTCCTAATGACTAAAAGAAAAATTCTGAATTTTCAAATTCTCATTGTTCTGATATCAAATAATTTATTGAAAACTTTTCCTCTTTATAAGAAGTAAAAGAAGCTGTAATTTCTGGAGAAGATAAAGCTGGTGTTAAGAATGCATATTTTGACTTTATATAAGCTTTAGCTACTTTCTTAAAAGGAAAGAATGAAATGAAAATAGATGAAATTTAAATGATGGATATGCTTGAAAAATATGTTAGTAAACGTGTTTATGATAAGTATTAAATTAAGTATTATTTATTTAGAGTCTATCCAAAAGAGAGAACATACAAAGATGCTGGTCTTTATTTTAGAATTAAATCTTTAGAATGGGTAAGCTATGACCATTTAGAAATAATTAAATAAAATAGAGTTGATGAAATGTGGGATTTAGCAGTAGAAGGTAATTAATTTTCTACAATTTTATATAGCTTTATTGAACATTGATAATTGTAAGACTGCTGTAAATAAATTAGAAGCCATGATATAATGTTCAAAAATTATGAATGATGTCCTTAAATTAACATCATTAAAAGAGGAAGCTACCTCTGCAGATACTGTATTACCTATTCTTATTTACATATTGATTAAAGCAGCTCCATAAAGATTACATAGCAATTTAAATTTTGTTTCACTATTTTTAGATAAAAGCAAAACTGTGAGTCAGTAAGGCTATTGTTTAACATAATTATAATTAGCAATATAATGGTTAGAAGAAGTAGATCATAAATTATTAAAAATGGATTAGTTGAACTTCCTTGAGTATTTTTATTCATTATTTATAGAACAATAACAAAAGCTGAGATTAGATATGGTATTCATTATTTAAAGAGAAGAAATAGATCAGAGAGAATTTCTATGCCTTTAAATAAAATTTAAGCACTTATCAATTGATTTAAATGTCAAAATATAGTATTTTTAACTTAACAAATTTAAATTAAAACAAATCTTATACAATAAACAAAAACTATTTAATCTCATTATTTAATTTAATCAGTATTCTCTTTAAAGATCTATATTAAATTGTAATTATATTCCTTAAGGTATTGAAAACTACATTAGATAATTATAATTATAATTCTAAATATAATAATAAATTTTATTAAACTAAAATAAATAAACTATTATATATATATAAAATATTCTTTTTTATTATTATCAATCTTATTCTGATAATTAAATTAAGTATCCTTGATCCCATTTACCCTTAATAACTTATCCCTCTGCAGTTGTAAATTCTCCTTCTCCATGTACCATTCCTTCTTCAAACTCTCCAAAATATTGTTCCTGATTTGTAAGAATAAGTGTTCCTTATCCATGCATTTTTCCTTACAAAAAGTTACCTAAAATGATTAATTTAATTATTATCTACCTTCATATGAAGCCCATCCATTTCCAATTGTTGTCATATTATTCCAATCAATTGGTTCATTTAATTCTTCAGTTTGAAGATTTGTCAATCTTCCTTGACCCTCATAAAGATTATCTTTCCAATAACCTGCATAAACTTATTTTCCATCAGAATCTGTTAAAATACCAAATCCATTTCTAGTTTAAGGAGGATATCCTTATCCTCTATAAATATATCCATCTTCATATTGTAATGCCAATTCTAGAAAAATTAGAATTTAAATACCTTGAATATTTTCATCTTCTTCTTCACCTTAAGGTTCATTAGCTTAATTGGTTTAGCGACCTTTGCTACCAGAATCATCTACTTAATATTTTTTGATGATTTCTTCTGTACTTTTAAGAGCATTCTAATATCTTTTATCTAAATCATCTTCTGGTTAAGATTATGGAACTTATGGCTTTTTCTGAGGAGGTGGAGATTTTTGCTTTTGTTAATTAGGCTATGGAGGGTTAGCATCTACAAAAATCAAATTTGAACTTACTCTTAATTGGCTGTTATGGTTTTTAAGCTTAAGGTTGCTATGCATTTCTTAGTCTCTCTTAAACTTATTGGTAAGTAAGTAATTATCTTTAAGGTGACTAAAGTTATGGAGCTGGTGATCTGGGGACTTATTGAGATTGCATGAGCACATTTCTTTAAGGTGATTATGCTGCCTTTAATCTATCTGGAGATTGGAATGTTCTTGAAGGGGAAGCCATAATTTGACTCATCATAGGTTAAGGTTGGTATGCTTATGGTATGATAGTTGAGGCATATGGATTGTATGGATAAGATGGATAAGATGGTGCATATCTAGGACCAGGATAACCATATTATGGAGCATTGTAAACAGGAGGTCTCCATTGTTATGGTATTTATGGAAGTACACCATAGGTAGGGTATCTGTATTATGGATATACTTATGGGTAGAAGTGCTAAGGATAAAACATTAAATTTAAAAACTTAATTAATGAAATAGATGAGAGATCGCTCCTCTTCTGAAGAGTATGATAAAATTTTTGATGGCAAGAAGTAATCTCCAGTTTAAGATAAGAAGGGCAAGAAATAGAGTTATACATTTGAGGATGGATAATATTTTTTTGATGTAAATTTTGTTCTTTTAGAATATTTAAAGCTTACAACTTATAAAAAGATTGCTATATCCAAATTCAAAGGAAATACAATGATTAGTTTACGTGAATACTTCGATAAAGATGGATAAATGTTGCCAACTAAAAAGGGAATTACATTGTCATTGGATAATTGGGAGAAATTCAAATAATATATCGGGGAGATTGATGAATGCATAAATAAATTAAAAAAATGAATTATGTTTCACGCAGTCCTTAAGTCCCTATCTATTAACAGATAAGGACATTCGTTTAGGGTCTAGCCCAAAAACGAAACTAGAAAGTAGTATTAAATGAGGTTTAATCTCTCATTAATCAATTGGGTGTACCTGGTGAATAGTATTTCCTACTTTAACTCTTGGATAACATAGAAATACAAAAGGAGAAGTAATCACTCACACAGAAAGGGTAATTTCTAGTATAATGGCTCCAATAAGCTTCATCTAAATCCCATTTTATAGATTACTTTTGTGGTGTGGCTGAAGCAGTGTGTCCCTAATCCTAATCCATCACTGAATATTTATGTGAATTGTGTAATGTTCTTAAAGTACCATCTTTGGTTTAAATGATAATGTGGTTGTCTATTACATTTTCTTCAAATTAGAATTTCTCTAAAGAAGGTATAAAGATGCTAAAGAAGAAACTATAAGAGCCTTTTTAATAGAAAAATAATTTATAGGTGCCATAACATGTAATTCATACATTGTTATATCAACTCAGAAACATTCCTGAATTGACGGTAAAATATTTAAATAATATTAGGATCTTGAATAAGAAATAAAGAATTTCAATGAGTATGTATAAAATACAAAATAAGCTGATTTAAAATGTTTGTATGATGATGGTAAAAAGTATATGAAATTGGATCCAGTAAACATTGAAATTCCTAAAATTAATGAATGTATTAAGCCTGTAGATATTCTAAGAGAATTAGGACCTTATACAAGCAATTTATAATAAATATTTACAGAATATAGTGATAGTGATATAATGGATTGTTTATTGTATTTAGCCAATAATCAAGGTGAGGTAGTCCCTCAAGATGTATAATAGTTGTTTAAATTAACATAAAATACTTAATAACCAGATTGGGATTAATTATCAGTCGAATAAAATAAATAGTAGGAAGATGATTTTATTAAATTCTTTATTAATGATAACAATAAAAGATAGTGGTCTTAAGTATTTGAGAAATTAGATAGACCTAATTTAGAATTTTCAACATAAGGTTTTAATAATTTAATGGGATTCTTAGCCAAAATTAAGAAATAATAATCTTAATTTTAATTACCACATAGATTATTATTTGATAAATGGCATAATAAAAAATCTTAGATCACCTTTCTTTCATCTATGTTAAAAGCTAACAAACCTGAATAATTGTTTTGGAATGAAATTTAACCAAAAAAGTTAGTTATTATGGAACATAATTCTAATTATAAGACTTAATAATAATTATAATATTGGTAAAATTTAGAATTTGTTTAAATGCTTATAGAATTAAGTGAATATGGTTATATAGCTGAAATTAGAGATTTTTTTGATCAACCAATTCGTTAAAATCCAGATTTAGTAATTTTAGCTTTATTCTAAATTTCACCTACTTAAGGTGGAGCATTAATAGATGAATTATTTACATAATTATTTCCTAATTATGTATCATAACATGCTAATTCTTCACCAGTATTAGAATAAATGTGGAAATACAATTAAAATTTATTTATAACTGGTATAAGTGAATTGTATAAGAAAGAATAAGGAAAGAAAGAAAATTCATGTTTAAATTTATCAAGAGTATTGGATATAGTTTAATAACTCTTTCAAAATTCATAATAGAATAATACATCATTGTTAACAATGGCAAAATTTGAAGATTATTAATTTTCAGTTCCATTAGGTATTTTAGCAGGTAAGAGAGAATATTTAAATTTTGATATTTGGTTGAATGAAAGAATTAAATCTTAAGGTATTCCTTTTGTAAATGTACTATTACAATATATAGAAGAAAATGTTATTCAATAAATTAAGGAATATCAAATAAAATCTGGATTACCAAGTGGTTAATTGGGATAGATGTAAATTTAATAATTGGATTAGATATTAGATAAAGGATAATTGAAATTAGAAATGATAACAATTATTTTTGAATAATTAATGAATTAAGGAGATAAATTAGGTAATAAAATAAAGTAAACAACATAATAATTTTATAAGGAAGTAGTACAAGTATTTCCTTAATTGGCAGGATAACCAAATTAAAAAACAAATTAAGAAGTAGAAAGTAAGACAGACAGTTATTTTGAGAGTTATTATAGTGAATAGATAAGTTTAGAAAACTTCTTAAATTAAATGATTTAATGGAAAACATAGGGAAGTATATAAGAGAAAGAAGTTTATGCTTGTATAATAACAAATTTGTATAATGAATATTAATTTCATTTGAAATATCCTAAAAAGGAATTGGAATTAACAGGATAATTATTTGGAGGTGTATTGGAAAGAGGATTAGTAGAAGGTTAAAGTATGTAAATAGGTTTGAGGATAATTTAAGTGTCATTAAAGAATAATACATAGAGATATGATTTTGCTGTTAAAGCATTAGATGTAATGAAAAATAAAATATATGAATGGCCTTGGTTTGCATAAGATGTTATGGCATGTGAACAATTATCTTTTAAGAATCCAGATCTTTTGGCAGAGATTATAAGAGTGTGTGAAAAACATGGAATAAAATCACCATTATAACCTGCATAACCAATATAAACAGTTTTTCATAAACCACTTTAATTGGTTGCTTAAAAAGAAAAATAAGAAAAATAAGAAGAAGAGCCAGTTTAATTGATTTTAAAGAAATCTGAATCAGTTCCTGTTCAATAGACATAACCATCTCCTATTGTAGTTCCAACAATAGTACAACCAATGTAAATACCTATATAATAACCATAACCTGTTATAATACCATAATAGTAACCAGTCACTTAGATTCCATAACATTCATAAGTACATGTATTATCAGTTACTCCTCCTCCTACTTTATAGAAATCCTCATAATTACCAGTTTAACATACACCTTAACCTTAAAAATAAAAATCAGATGATAATAATACTAATATTAATCTCACTTATAAATAAATATTATAAGTGGAATTTGATGAATTTTAAAGATGTGGAGCTGATTCAGAAGTCAAAGAGTATTTTACATTTACTTTGAACAGTATCTCTCAAAATAATGTTGAGTAAAAGGCTGCTGAAATAAGATAAAAATTAGAAAATTAAGATGCTTTATTCTATTTCATTAAAACAATTGCTTATTTACGTTCTCCAATGGCTTAATAGTAAGCATAAGGTCCTAATGTAATGTGTTGCTTACTTGCTGCATTAAACAAATCAAAATATTTTTCAGAAGTAGCCAAAGAAGTCAGCATAGGATTAACAAGATTATTAACTTTTAATAAAGCTAGTCCTTCTGCAGATGATCGAAGTACCATAAAAAATATGGGTAGTTTTTTAGGTTAAATCACTGTATCCAGAGACAAACCTTTCTTGTTTAAATATTTTGATTACAAAACCTTATTAAAATAAAATTAACTTACTATATATCCACTTTGCAAAATCTTGGAATAGGTCAAATCTAGTTAAATATTTACTAAGAATAATAAGTGGGTAAACAAAATTTTATAAGAATTGGATGCAGCTAAAGAAGCATGCAATACAATGGCCAAATATGAAATCATGAATCTACTTAAATTAATTGAATATACAGTCTAACCAATTAATCCAACTCCCACTCCAATAAATATCCCAAATCCTGTTGTCCCAACAATAACATAACCTATTGTTTAACCTATTATTGATATTGATCCACTTAATAAATTAAATATTAAGAATCTGCCTTAATATGTAATGGCTGATTCTAAAAATCTAAATGATAAATTAAGTGAAGCTGATTGCAAAACTCTTGTAGCTACAGCATTAGATCATGCCATATCTGATATTATTCCACCTGTTATTAGCAGAAGTGTTACAATAGCATTAATTACAACAAGAGAATTAGTTTTTAAAGATTTTGCACTTGAACCAAATGAAAAATCTATGTTAAGAGGAATGCATATGATAGCTTCTCACTTATCAGGAAGTTTAGCTATGGTTACTTGTAGAGAACCTTTAAAAGTAAGGATCACTCATTATCTTAAAGAAGGCATTGAATAAATTGATATTGATAATAAAACCAAAGAAACATTTGTCTAAACTGCTGCTCAAGAAAACTTAGATTTAGGATGTGCTCTTATTAAAAAAGCAGTTATAGAAAGAGCATTAGAAGATGTCAATTAAGATCCTTCTATTTTGGAATAATTAGAAAAAAGATAACGATGTAAAGAAAAGGGTTAATAATATAGAGATGAAATAACTTAGAATTAATTAAAATTCTTACCTGAACCATTATAACCTAGAATCTCTGGTTTGACTGAAGAAGAAATAAGAATTTACGAAGAATTTGGTACTAAGAAAAAACAACCAAAATAATCTATATTGTAAAAGGTTTCTACTCTCTGTTAACTTCTTTAAGATCCTTAGAGTAATGAAGAAAAAATATAATAGCTCATATAAGATTTAAATGAATAGGAATAATCAAATCCTGAATAATTCTATAAAGATTTAGCTGATAAATTTTTATAGGTCATATTAACTAATAATTTAACTTCAGAAAAAATATCTATCTCTTTAGATTTGATTACCATTCTTATTAGAAAAATAAATGAAAAAGTTGGTAAAAAGTGGAGTGAATTGGTTGCAGAATTCATTACTAAAAATATTGAACTTTTAGAACATAGTCCATTATGGTGGTAGGCATTCCCTATTATGTTGAATAAAAGATTAATCTAAAGTTAAGAGGCTGAATAAGTAATGACTTAAATTCTCACTAAAGATAATTAAATGAATGTTAGTTCAATTGTATACATACTTAGAAAAGTGATTATTGAAGAAGACAATAACCCATATTTATAGTCATTCAGAAATATTATTAAAGAACTCAGTAAAAAGAAAGATACTCATCCTACTGTCTCTAAATTCTTTACAGAACTTTCTAGTTATGTAGCAAATTAAACTTAAACTAAAGTATTTTAAAAGAAATTGAATTTAATCAAAGGTTTCTATTCAAAGATTGATGAAGAATTTTCAAATAAAGTTTCTCTTA